TGTTTATTATTAGCAATGTTCTTGCGACGTCTGATTTCTTTTTAAAAAATTCGTTTCTAAAGTGCATAAACTTTTGAGATTGACTGTATAGCCAATACATCCTTAATGCTCAATTTTACTTGAGAAAAACCGATATAAAGGCCGATTTCAACACATTTTTCGTCTTCATCTAAACTTGCCGTCACGAGAGTCTATAGTTCGCAAAGACTAGTTTTCGATCGCTGACCTCACGTCTCTTTCCCTCTAATGTTTTTCATATTTTCGCCACTACTCGGATCTATTCGATTACCCCAATACCTCTAAGCTACACGAAACTGTTATGGACTCTCGTGACGGAATAGTTTTGTTTGATTGCAATTTGATGAACGAGAGTGACCAACTTACAAATTTGTTTACTATGTTTTGACCGACTATACAATAAATACAATCGATTGATTGTCAACTAGTTATCAGTATGAGATTCGCTGGACAGAAACAGAACGTTGATAATACGATACCCTTTCCGGTTTGCCCGTGACACGAGCGACGATATAAAACAAATCGAGTCGATTGTGTGGGGGTCACTGTATAATAAATAGGCACGATGCGAAAAGACGAGTGCACGAGTGTATATAAGCCGGGCTGTCCCTTTTGACGTCAATTTCGTTAATTAATTCGAGCGGGGTTAAAAGAAGCGATTGAGAGATTTAGGGTCGAACACGTCAGACGGCAGCTTGATTTAAGATCGCCGCCGATCTTTTTGTCCCGGCCTCCCGTCCTTTCGGTCGGTAGTATATTTTTAGACGATTAGGAATAACGAGGGAGAGACGAGCAGCAGCAGCAGCAGCAGCAGCAGCAGCAGCCGCGGTGGTGGTTTAACGTCAATTTTGTTAATTCATTAATTCGAATGAACACGCGTTAGCTCCGCCTTGCTTCCATAAAATCGTTTAAAGTATCTTCCGACGACGTTTCACAGACTCGCTCTCTCTACCATTGGAAAATGATTTTCCTTTCGAATCGTGTTCAATCGCTGCATTCACGCTCTCTTTTTTCCCTCCCATCGACATATATTTGTAGACGCACGTTCTGCGTTGTAAAATGCAATTCCATAAAATTCGAAAACACCACTGACCAATTTCTATTTACTCGATACACCCGGATTCTTCCGGTCTATCTCCTGTTAACCGGTGATCCGTATTCGATTCGTTCTAACGCTTGCGATAAAATATTCTACAAAAACAACTTCCATCGCGTAAGACGATACGTAGATCGTCGTTACAGTTCTCTGAACGAGTCGCTAGCGGACGAGTTTCCGATGAGGATCATCGCTGCTGGCAAATTGCATTGAAAAAGTTTAATTGTTTCACCGAGTCGGCATGGAATATTGACGCGCATAAGCGAAGGGAAATTCCCAATAGAAGAGTAGGCGTGTGAGCGTCGGTCGGAAACGAGATATATATACTCCGAGGGAACACCTAGCTCGTCGGGATAATAAGGAATATACTGTCGGAGTCACATTCATCGGTATAGTTTGTTGCCAATTACCCCGAGTGTCCACCCCTACGTCGGGCTCTATGGACGAGCATCGAGACACCAATACCGCGACGGTGAATAACGCACGGGGCATAACTCCTCGCGTGTGCATGCACTGGCACACGTGCGCGTCTGCACGTATACACGAGCACGACGAGAAAGGGGAGTGGCCGCGTATTGCATCGGACAGTTCGCAACTGCGTATACATTATGCATCGGTAATAACTGGTTCTCCAAAAATCTGATGCTACCATAAACAGCTGTACTCGTAAAACCCCGAAGCAATCATTCTATTCGCAATTAAAACCACCCTTAGCAGAAACAGGATGAACGTTCCGATACAGAGAGCCCCGTCGATGCAGAATTAAGATGTTGGGTTGGCAACTAAGTGATTGCGAATTTTAAATAACAAGTCTATCGACAAACTCCGCAATTATTTAGTTTGCCAATCTAATAGGATCTCCCAATTTCTGTTCACGATTTCCATTCACTGACCATTTCTATTGTAATTCTGTGTTGTCTCAACAGTGAGTAGAACTTGTAACGCTCATTTTAAGTTAACGTCGATTAAATCAAGAATTCTTAGGAAAATCCTAAAAAAGTCTAGTATAGATTATAGAGAGGAAGAGAGAGAGAGAGAACGGTTGCAAACAAGTCGTAAGCAAACTAGCTGCCATGAGCAACTAGTTTCCAGCGACGCGACGGCTGACTATACTTGACGTTTAATCATTAAACTAGTTGGTGCGCGTCGACGTGTTCGTACGCGCAAATCGCGCGTGTACGAGGACACACACGTGGGTCTATTGTATACGGCGCAGGGATACGATAAGCAGATTCGAGCTGATCTTCTACCTGATGACAATCCCCTAAAAGCTGAATAGTCTCTTCCTCAGAATTTTGCTTCTGTCCATGTGTAATCAGATTTGTAAATCAATCGTTTCATAGAATGAACGATTGCTCAAAAGATTCCAAAGATAAAATGACTCATCTTTTGTCTGACGATCATCCCCTAAAAATTAACCATCCCCTATTGTTTAGAATTCTGTCTTTCTGAATTTAGAATCGATGCATAATCGCATTTGTAAATTAATCGTCTGATCGAACGGGTGGCAGAGGTTTCACGGCAGGAGAACAACCCATTAACGAGGTTACGCAGATTACATTTCCCTTCGCTACGTATCTGTCTCCGACAATTCACGCGCGTTTCCATACGTACCTTATACACGTTTAACGAGTACGTGAACGAATTGCTAACCGTACCTATAACAACGCGTGGTGCAATGAATTGGTTACGACGCGACGTGTTGCGTTTTATCAGATACGCTTACTCGCACGAGCCTCCAACACTTTTTTTAAAGTCTTTCATTAAGGACTTCCACTCGACTGCACGCGGAATCTCTCCACCGAGAAAGATTTATTGACAAACGGAACGAGAACGATGAGTACCAACGATTACGGCAAAAGCACCGTCCATCGTATGCATCAATTGTCATTTATTAGGGAATGGTGGATGAATTAGTCGACTTTTGATAGATAGGAGAAGGGCGAGATCCTTGGAATCGAGTGCAGTCGCGGTCGGCCTCGTAAAACGGTCCCCGAAGGCCGACGAATCGGACAGTTACGTTATGTTGGTTATAGTTATAGCAGGAGAAATCGCTTATAAATTCGTGTTCCTCGGTAAGGGTACACGTGTCTCAACCAATGGACACGGGGAATCGATTTGGAGAAAACGCGTTTGGTAATTAACAGACTGAAAACAGTCCGGTTAATTGAGATGCGACCAAGAACGTTGATACCCGTCGTCCCTTGATTCTGATTAGATGGCCTAATCAGAGTGGTCTTATAAACAATACTCGTGCACGAATTTGCGCGATTGGGTACAGAGATTAACGAGGCCGTGATGAGCTCCGATGCATTTTGATTCTCGAAAAATCAACGATCCTACACGAATACAAAAAAGGAATTACTCTTATCAGATTCCGATCACCGCGGTTCATTTCCGTCGATATTCATCTTATTAATTTCTGGGTCAACGATCCTTCAATTTTCATCGGACAGAATTAATTAATTAAACCCCTCCCGCGGGGATGAAACGCGTTCGGCTGTTCGACGTGTACAACGAACGCAGATGTTCGATTTGGCGAAAGCCGAGTTTGGCACACGAATTGCATCAAAAATTATAATCCGGGATTGAAATCGGTTAGCCGCGAGTAACTGCGCTAATCGGTTAAATCGACATCAACGTTCTTATCCCGCTTTCTATCAACGCGATCCTCTCGAAAACCTCTTAACGCTCAAAGCTTGGCTCGGCTGTTATAAAGAAATTCCTGTCGCCACTTTCAGCCAAATTGAACGGCGAGATTTCGCACGCAAAAATAAAATCGCACGATGGACAAGTCGTTCCTCTCGCGTGTGTCAATTAATGATTTGACAATGAAAAGCTTGATCGTTCTTAGTGAATCGTCCTAATTCTGACAAGCAGATATCAATGAACAAGCAGTGGTATCAATTTGTTGGTAACGTTCCAGGCGTAACGAGAGCCAGAGTCTAAAGAAATCGACCGGTGAACGGAAAAAAGGAATTGGTTGTACGTGGAAAGAATCGACGGGAAGCTTTCCGCGGAGCCTGGACAAAGGCTCCTTGCCAACCCTCCCTCCCTCGGAAGATGAGAGAAAAAATGTACGCGAGGACAAATTGAATTCGTTCCTAATTGCAGAGCTTTCTGGACGAAACGCTTATTAGCGTTGATTACGAAAGAGGTCGTTCGCGAATGGTGCACTCTACACGTGACGCTAAGCCCGCCACGCTTGCCAACTACTACTACTGACGACCACCAGATCTTCAAACAAAAGGACTTGATTCTCGTACCCGGTCCGGTGCCAAACCACCTTCTCTCTTTCGTCGATTAATTCGCATTACATCTTTACCGTCTTATTAAGCAATTTCTGACGAGTCGCTTGGACGATCGATGGAATAATAAAACTCAATGTCAAAGTTAAGCAGCGTCGGCCGCGGTCAGTACCTGGATGGGGTGACTATGGTCGTGGTCTGCGAGACTTTGTGCAATTGCTTAGGTGTCGTACCCCACTCAACAAGATGAGCGGGAGGTTCAAATTCGATGTTCAAGCCTACGAAATGTGACCTAGTAGAGACCCAATGGGAACGGATACTCAAGACACCAACTATTTCAGGGCGGGTTTTCCTAGGTAGGATTTATCCCATTGGGTTTATCTACTGAAGGTTTTCCCCGCACCACAAGCAGCATCCTGGACGAATGCATGATGGAGAGAAGACTGAGAGGAAAATGGGCATGGAAATAGTAGAGAGGAAAATACTGAAGGTTCAGGAGAAAAACAGGCACTTGCTGGGCCGAAGGCTGCAGGTGGATAAACCCCGCAAAAGAAGAAAAAGATAAAACTCGATGTCTGCGCGGAATCAAAAGTAACCGGGGTGGGTTCAGGTTTGCGATGACCAAGTGGCGAGCTTACCTTACAGTGGGTGCAGTTAAAGATGACCGAATAGGACTGAGCACAATCGTATCGCGCGAGCACTTCCTCGAACTCACAATGCAACCTCGCGGCCAACGCGTCGACGAGCAACAGCTTGTCCAGGGCATCGGTGCACTTCTGACCACCGTTTAACACGTTTTCAAGCGGACCGCCCTTGCCAGGCGCCAGGGCGTTGACCACCGCGTGCTCGCAGCAGTGCCGCAGACGCAACCCGCTCATGAACCAATATCGATTCTCCCTCGAGGTGAAAAAGCTTCGCGTACTGCTCCGGCCAAAATCATCCCGACAGATGTCCCTCTTATGCGACTCCTCGAGATAAAAAAGGCACTGTTCCGGAGTCGTCGGTACGCCGTCGTCGTCGTCGGTCTCCTCGCGGCCCGACACCGGCCTCTCGCTCCCCTTGGACCAATAACAATTCCTCCCGGCGAGTTCAACTCTCTGGATCACCTCGAGGAACCCGGCGTCCTTCCCCTTCTCCTTCGCGGCCGACGAGCACGGTACCGGGCAGTTCTTCGGCACTTCCGGTGGACCGCAACTGCCTTGAAGATCGGCCGGCGTTGGACCCGCCAAGTCGCAGGCCGACAGCCAAGGGTTTATCTGGTTCACCTCCCAACTGTATTCGTTGTAAGGATGCGTCTCGTCCGGCTCGGTCGCTCGCACCTCGCGTTGTCGCCTGTCGCGAACCGTCTGCTGCTCGTCCTGTTGCTCCTCGTCGTGTCGGCGATGGTGACGCCCGTCGACACCGTTATCCTTCCTCTCCCTGTCTCTGACGTCTCGAAACAGCTGTTCCCGTAACGTGCCGCGCTTCTCTTCGGTCTGCCGAGTATGCTGCTGCTGCTGCTGTTGCTGATGCTGCAGCCACTGATGCGCGACGCCCGAAGACGACAGTAGGGACGAGATCTGCGTGGCGTTGTGCCGGGACAGCCTCTCAGTCGAGCCGAGGGACGATGAATCGGATGCGAAGCTGGAGACGAACTGTCCGGGGGGATTCGTCGAGCACACCAGCGGCCAAGCAGCCAGTAGATATAAGACGAACAGCAATCCATATTTCCGGCCGCACGAATTCGACACCTTCGTCGTCGTTGGTCCGTTCGTCGAGGGTTCCGTCGTCTCGTTCCCGCAACTTTCGTTGGTGATCGGCTCCTGGAACCGGGCAGTGTAGTAACTCTCGCGTTTCTCGCCGCGCGAATCCCGAACGCGACGATGATGGCCTCGAGAACGTTCCCCTTTGCCACGGGTGGTACCGTCGTCCTGCTGTCGAGAGAACCTCTTCCGTCGTTGAACGTCCTCGATCTCGCGAGCCGAGGCGATCTGCGCGTCGCCCTCGTTCTCGTCCTCGTCCTCGTCGTTGTAGGCAGTGTAAGGAAATGCATCGACCGAAGAAACGTTTGTGGGATCGTCCGCGGTAGGAATTGGCGAGAAATTGACAGATTTCTCGAAACGAGCTCGATCATCATCGTCCTTCTTCTTCCATCTCGTCCTTGGCTTACCAGCGCGACGAGACCGTGACCCCGTTTCCCGAGATACCGTCCGAGACAAATCGTCCGCGGGATCACTTCCGGCCTCTTCTTTATCCTCGCTCTCCTCGAGTTCTCGACACTGATCGTTTCCAAGCTTCCGTGCACGACGATCGTCGTCCTCCTCGAAATCGTTCGCGAGCGCGCGAATGCAATGAACCCGTGAATAGTAAGAGACGTGAAAGGCAGTGGCGTTTCCGGTTTGGAATCCGTCCCCGAGCTCGACTGAGCGACGCTGGCAACGAGCCGACCACGCGAGCGGACGGTCGCAGCCCCAGGAACGGCGTGCTTCATCTCCGGTTGGTTGCGGCTCTCGAGCCTCGGAACGACGAGACGAGTCTCGACGACAAAAGAAAGACGCTCGCTCGTCGGAGGTCGGACTACGGAGAAAAGGCGAACCGTGGCTCCCGTCGCTTCGATCGTACGACGTAGATGGTCCCGTGAATCCGCACGAATCGAACTGCATAGACACGAGGAGCCCGGGAACGCTAGCGTCCGCGATTCGTCCTCGTCGACGATCCACACCACAGAGGCGCGACTTCACCTTCCTCAAACATACCCTTCCGCGTCGTCTTTCCGCCGGTATACGCGCCGAGGATGATTGGAACACGCGACGCCAAATGAACGATCGCCTTCGCGATACTCGCCCTCCGTTCGTACAAGGCGCTGCATCGCTGCCACCAAAGACCGAGACCGATCTCCACTCGTCGCCCGCTCTCTTCGTGTCTCTCGACTCTGCTTCCTTCCGTTTCCGCTCTCGTTCTCGTTCTCGATCTGCTCCTCGTCCTCGATCTCGTTCTCGCTCTGCTCCTTGTCCTCGATCTTGCCCTGTCTCTCGATCTCGTCCCGATTCTTCTTCTCGTTCTCGTCCTCTTCCGGGTTCTCCTTCTCGTTTTCGTTTTCGCTTTCTTTTTCGTTTTCGCTTTCGTCTTCGTTCTCGCCCCTCTCCCTCTCGTTCTCTTTCTCCTTCTCCTTCCCCTTCTTCTCCTTCTCGTTCGTCCACTCGTTTCCGTGCTCCTGCTTCTAGTTTTCCTCCTCGTTTTCGCGTTTCTCCTCGCTCTCCCCAAGAGAGAACCGCTACGCAGCTCCGCTTCGACCCTCTCGGCGACGAGTAGCTTTCCGTGGAGCAACTTCGCCGTAAGAACGACGGCGTTGACCTCCACGTCGGCGTCGCTGATGATCTGCTCGGTGCTCCCGCACTCGATGCCCTTGAGACGAGTACGGCGCATCGCGAGCCCCTTTTCAAACCTTCTCGGTCCCGACGACACTCGGCAATCTCGGTTGATCCATGAGTCGAGTCCCTCGCGTGTACGTTTCCGGCGGTGCTGATGAACGTGGACGAAGATGCGTTCGGCGAGTCGCTCTTCCCGCGGATGGTCGAGACGCAGTCGCCATCGAGACGACTGGTGAATGGTGTCAGCCCCGCTCGTAGGTATCCCGGAGTCGATAGCCAGGTGACATCTGTCCGAGCGGCCCGGGTCGGCGGGGCCCTTAGAAGTCCCCCTGGAGGAGGCTGACTTCTCGATGATCCCGACAGCGATCCGCCAAGGTCGCTGCGACGACCAGCTCGAACGACGACGTCGCGCCGGCGGCGACCGGAACCGTGGCAAGAACGGCGTCGTCGAACCGCGAGCCCGACTCGCGCGGCAACGATAGCAGGGGCAACAACAACGCCGTGAACGCGCGATCCAGCCGCTCGAAATTCTCGTGCCACCAGCCCCGATGGTGGTGTCCGCGATGGTCCATCGCTTCCGGCGCTTCCTCTTGCCGCGTCCGCACCACCTGCACCCGCGGCTTCTCGCGTCGCACACCACCGTGTTTGTCCTTCCTCGAACCGGCCCGCGTTCGATCCCGCTCCCACACCCTCGCAATCCGGTTCTTCTGCCAGGTGGCCACTTCCGTCGCGGCACTGCGACCACGCTGCGACCGACAACGGCAACTCTCGACCAGAGTAACCACCGACACGACGGCGGCGAACACGACGACGGCCACCGCTGTCGCCGTCGCTGTGATCGTTGCTTCTTCTGTTCCCACAGTCGCTGCTGCTGCTGCTGTTGTTCTTGTCGTCGTTGTTGTTGTTGTTGTTGTTGTTGTTGTTGTTGTTGTTTGTGTTGTTGTTGTTGTTGTCGTTGTCGCTGTCGCTGTGACTGCTGCTGCGCCGGCGACGGCGACGGCGACGGCGACGGCAGCGGCAGCGGCGACGGCAGCAGCGACGCCGGCGACGCTGCCCGTTCCAAGGACGACGGGGACCCTCGATCTTTCGACCGGCGAAAGTACCTGGACACCGTCGTAGTCGCCCTTCCGAGGCTCACCAGCTCCCGATACAAGACACCGAGGTTCATGCTGCATCCTAAACGCCCGGCTTCTCTCCCTGTTCCTCGCAGCCCCCTTTGGTCGTCGCCGATGATCACGCTTGCCGGTGACACGGCAACGCGTACCACCGCTCGAACGACGACTCAAACGGCCACCACGTTGTTACCCTACGCGGCACCGACGTCGTTTCGTTTGCTCCTTGCCATTGCGTCGACTTCATGGACACACCCCTAGTAGCAGATCCACCGACAGCCACCCGAGTACCCACTTTCCGAGTACCTTGCTCTCTCCTCTTACCCAACCTTTCCTCCTTGACCTCGTTGCGCTTTTCTCCCTCTTTCTCTATCTCCGTCTCTCTCTCTCTCTCTCTCTCTCTCTCTCTTTATTTCACCCTCTCCCTCGCTCTTTCCCACTCTCTCTCAGCGTTCGCGGACTTCCCGGTCCTTTTCAGCCACCGAAATGAACGTCTCCACCGATTGCGTTGTTCTCCGCTTCCCGTCTCCACCGAAGATCGTCCAGTAATTCCCCCTTTTGTTCTCGGGGGTCGTCTCGAGGGCCTCTTCCTCGGGGATGAAAGTAAGGTTATCAGACTGCCCTCGGGAGACGTCGACGCGCACCAGGATCCGCGCGTGAGAGCACGCGCGCGCGCGCGCGGTCGAGCGCGCGCACGGCTCCTCTACACCGTGACGATGAAAACACCGAACGATAGACGATGATAAGATCGTCGAACGATCGCCTCGTTTCCTCGGACCGCGCGACGATTCTCTTTCTCGACGCAGGAGGTATCCTCGTAATCCGTCGAAGGGCACGTACGTCCTCGGCGAACGCTGGTTCGTTGCCCGTCGAGCGAGGAGCCTCTGCTCCGCGACTCGACGATTCCACTCGAGCCGTTCTCGCGACGCGAAACACTAGACGAGGCACTAAACGGACGGATCGCGCGTCCGGTCGTTTCGCAGCGGCCGCCCCCGCGAACGATCTGTCTTCTCTCACCACCGCGAATCACGGCAGCCGCAAACCCCGAGGAACTGCTCACTGCTCCGGCAAAGATATCGGAGAGTCCGTCGTCGGTGTTCCTCGTGGCACCGTACCGTCTCGACGACGACAGTGGCGCACCTTCGAAATCGCGTTGCGTTGCGTCGCGTCGCGTCGCGTCGACTCACTCCGTCTACTGGCGGAAAAAAAAGTCGAACGCGCGCGTACTTTTATCCTGCACGATCTGTCCCGGGGACGAGGTATCGATACGCCCGCGGCTTTTTCACTTATCCTCCTTTATTAGCGCATCGCGCACGGGCTTCGTAGGAGATCTCTCGACCTCCTCTTCCTTTCCACCTCTCACTCTTCCTCTAAAGAACCGGAGAACGCTCGGGGGTGGCGGCGGGTATTGGCGTAGAAAGAAGACGCGGAACGGGGCGGCGTACGCGATCTTCCAGGAAAATCCGTCGAATCCACTTTGCTCCGCAATTTCGAACTAGCAATCTTTCCATCGACGTGCGACGACGGCGCTATGGACCGATAACGATCGGGATTCGTCGACCCTTCGCTCTCTTTTTTTCTATATCTTATCCTCCCCTTCTCCCTTTTCTTTTTCGAACCTCGGTTCCTCTCTCTTTTCTCCTCCCTCGCGGTCCCAGCAGGTGGACCGTTCTCGCGACGGGATCCGTCGTTTATCGCCACGCCAAGGGGAAAACCTGCAACACGGATGCCAGTCGAACGGCAGGCACGCACGCACGCACGCATGCACGCACATCCACACTTTTTGGGGGCCCCGTGCGCGTGACACGGAAACACCGACCCCGAAGCCGCGCACCAACAACTGCGCGCGGATCAGATGGAACGGACGTGTGCCGATAGTCCCTCTTCGAGAGACGACGGAAACTTCGGTGCGCCTTCGCCGTTCTCTCTCGGTCTATCTTCACAGCTCGCGCGCGCACACGCATACACGCGCCGAAAATTCTCCCTCCGCCGATCGCCCCTGACTCTCACCACCCAGCCTTTCCCCTTCCACCTCCAGGAGCCTTTCCCGTCCCGTTCCCACTTTCAGTCCGCGCGATTTTTCCTCTATCCTCCGTCCCTCTCGTCATCATCGTCATCATCGCATCATCATCCTCCTACCTGTCTTCCTTCCTCTCCATATCAGCCACCTCCCGTTTCCTCTTTCGATCTACACCTCCGTGCATGTATTCGCAGCAGTCGTAATCTCGGGTGGATCTCCCCTTGCGCGCGCCTCTCTCCCGTCTCTCTCGATCTCGTTTTCCAACCCCCGTGACTCTCTCTCTCTCTCTCTCTCTCTCTCTCTCTCTCTCTTCCAATCCTTCCTTCCTTCGCGTTCATTTACGTTCTTCCGAAAAGGCACATCTCTTTCGCCGGGCAGAGCAACCGCGCCACCTTCGACCGACTATTGCCGCGTATATACAATTAATCCTCCGAAAACGCACTATTTTCCGGTGTGCAAATAAAACAGTACAAAAATCGCGATACGAAACCGTCGGATCCAAGTGGGACACACCGGTTCCTACAGAATCGATCCTGGACACGGTTCAGGGATAGCTCGAATCTACTCTGATCTTCAATATCATACAAATACTCTGATGCCTCTGTTTAGGCTTTTACAATTTTTTTAACCTACCAAAAACAAATTAAACGTCGGTAATAAGTTTGTCCTTAAAATATCGACACGCGAGGTCGAGTGGCTGAGAAAATTTCATCAGACGTCGCGAGTGAACTTTTTATACTTTGTTCCTCTTCTCGATCTGAGAGTTACCTCTCGGACACGTTACATGGATTCCAATCCTTTCATGTCTCGAAACGATTCGCATTGTAACGTGCGTTACGTGAAACTATGTAAGACGTCCGCCGAGGAGGAGAGTCAGAAGGAGTTATCTTGAAATGATCGTGGGACATGCCGAAGGTATACCTGTGGACGATGCGGCGATATTAAAAGCGGAGGGCGCATGTACCGCGTTGACATCGGGAGCGAGCACGTTTTCCTTGCGCACGGATATACGCATACACGGGCAGCCGAATCCTATCAAGGACATTTCGCAGCGTGTCCTCCCTCCCTCTCACCCTCCCTGTTCCTCTTCTGCACACGCTCCCTGTTTCAAAGTTAGGTCGAGAGTATCGCCGCGCATGACCACGCGGGACCAAGAGAAATATATTCGCGAATCGATAACTCGCAACAGCGGCGGGTTAGTCACGCGAACGAGTAGCCCGTTCGATTATCACTCCAGCAATTCGCGGTAACGTGTAAATTATGCTTCCTTCCCCTTTTCTATTTGTCTATTCTTCGATCGAAGATCGTTCCGATACGATTCGCGTGACGGGACGTTTCGCATGTCGCTAATGAATTAGAAAAACATTTGTTCAATCTTCTGTCTCGCTCCGTATCCTTCATTAGTGTTACATTCGATATTTGAATTTATTGTCACTGTCCACTGTACCAAACATTGAAATGGAACTGTACTTCACATACCGACGTATCGACAAATTGTACTATATAATTTCACATGATTGCAATTGCATGTTCCTGAATTCGACATCGTTGATATTCGAATTAATTGTAGAATCGAACGTGCTCGATTTTGTGATCGAACAGCAGCGAAGAGGTAAAAAAACAAAATGAATGTCGAACGTTATGTGGGAAAGATGAAGAGGATGAATAAGAAAGATTCAGAGGTGGAGGAAGAAATCGGGGTTGCTGTGATAGCGAAGGTGGAGAGGATGAGGCTGTTCGGGAAGTTGAAGAGGCCGAAGCGGTGCGAGGAACGAGGCGCAAGGCACGATCTAACCTAGTCATCGTAACCGTCTCCGAGCGAATTTTATACGAGAAGGAGGCGAATTCAAATGGCATTGTATCGTCACGTGCGGCCACTCGCTTTTTCTAGACGGTGTTAGGAACCTCTTTTCCTCCGTGCAACCGCAGAACTTTCCTACACCGCCCCCATCTCCCCTTTTAATAACATTCCACTGCTTATTTTTCCTCTATACATCCTACAACAATCCGGCTATATCACTTCGCTAATCCCGTATTGTCGATATTTGAATTTCAAGCATGCAGCTCTCACCGAAACGTAAAATACAAATATCATTTATTTTTATTTCAGTAATACATCTAGCGTAAAATTATAATAGCAAGTCCGATTCGAACATCGAAATGACCGGTTAAAAATCCATCCTTTGACATTGTACAATATACATATACATATACATACTACCCACGCACACTTAACAAGATCATTCACACCGACCTATTTACACAGCTTTATACAAGCGTCCTCCAATTCTTCTTTTACTTTTTTTTAAACATACCGATCAATTAATAAGAACTATCTGTGTAACACGTCGATCGATTAACTTGCGTCGTCATTAGAAAATGGAAAACGCTACGATAAATACAAATTCTCCATAGATAATCTCCGTCGAGAACTTAATTTATGAAATATCCCTTATTACGTTTTATTTTACCCTCCTTACAAAATCAGTAACCGATGTCACACGTATTCTTATTATTTACGAAAATTCGTTGAGAAAAAGGTTTATTGATGTTAAACACACTAACTGATCCAAATAACATCTAAAGTTTTATAGCATTTCATTATTTTCTCCATGTCCTGCATTAAAGAAGATTATCATTTTACTCTTCTAACTTATACATAATATGTTTATATATATGTATGTATATTATATATGTATGTACAATAACAAATAATATTTACAAACTCATCCAACAAATCATATTGTTAAAATACATTTCTCCTTTTGCGTCATAGGTACGTGTCGTCGACGATCATCGAGTTATGTTAACGTGAGATAATTAAATCCGTGACTATTTCTTGTATTAAACAAAGGTATCTATTTACTGTAGTGACTAACTGTAAGGTGAGGTAAATGTGTACGAATTAATAATTACGTGCGAGGATAAAATACTTAGGCCTCGGGAAGCTATAAATACGAAATCGACTGATTTTAAATGAACGAAGGTTGAAATCAATTTCGAGGACAGCATTTTAGAAACCGACATGTGCGCGGGCATAGTATATCTGAAGAACTTGCAGTCTTAACTGTTAAGAATAAATCATTTTCATATATACGTTTCTATGTAAGATCACTTTAATTAAAGCAAATTGATAAAGTAACAAATCATCCTTATTATTTAAAAGAACAGCAGATCATTTTTATCAGTATGAAATCGTCACTTATTTAACAACAAAAGATTGTAAAAAAATGCTTAGAAAACAGCGAATGTTCGACACATGGGAAATGTTTACAGATTATTGGCCGTGTATGCCATGCATAAACGATGACATTCCAGGCGCTAGTTCTTTGAAATAAACTCCGAGACAATTAAAGCATTCGGAAAATCCATCTTTTTTTTCACAAATATGAATCATCGATAATTATACATACGAAATTTTGCATTATCTTAAGTGAACGTATCACAAGTTATAAACGTGTAACAGAAGACGGATCGAATTGAACTTTATGCAGTAACATCATTCCTACCGTTGTCCGCGCTGATCAAATTAGTGGCCTCGCTTTCGTTTGTTACTGAATTATGTGAATTACCTGCAGTTCGCGCGTTGCGATCTGTAACCTGAACTACCGGAGCTGCGAACCCGTACGCGTCCGCACACAAGTTCACCGTATGAGGCTTGGTACTGCTCACGGAACATTCCAGCTCTGGTAATTCGCCTAACAGTAAAACAGTAAGATCGTTATGTTCTTCGTTGATCTCTGTGGTTTCCCTGATTTCATTCATTTGCGAGAACAATAATTACCGTTAATGCTGTGAATATCGTACGGTCTGAAAACAGTTCCACTGGATGGTTCCCCGGCGCCTACGTGACCCTCATCTTCCGGTGTGCCAAAGGATTGTTCAGAATCAGAGCTACTGTTGCTTAAATGGCTATGATAATCCCTCCAGGGCGATCTACCGCGTTCGCGTGATGGTATTCGAGCATTAGTAAAAGGATTCTCTCTCTGCTGTGAAAACGTTCCGCCCTGAGTACCTGACGAAATAATTACAACAATGAAAATCAAATAACGCGAGTCTTTAAAAATACAGACAGATAAAAGTTTCTCGTACTCTGATACACGTCACGGATCAAAGGCGTCGTGTCGTCGGCGTCCGAATCACTTTCGTCACTAACAACTTGTTCGTCCGCTGCGAAAACTTTCCGCTTGCAAACAGGGCAAACCCTGCGATTCTTTGTTAGCCAGGGGTCAATACATTTCGTGTGATAAGCTAGAAACAAATCAGCACGTCATCGTTGGGAATGTTCCGTTAACATTTACAATTTTTTTTCGATAGATACGAACCGTGTGCACAAGGTAAAACTCTCAATTTTTCGCCTTCGGCGTAGTCGTCTAAGCAAATAGCGCATGTCTCGTACGGATCACCTTTTGTATACTTGTGTGTAGGAATCTTCTTTAAACTTGAATTTGGTAGTCTATGCCTCCTTTGCCTTCTTCTATCTTTAATACATCTAACGATCTGCAATACAGGAAAGAATGAGAGTTAAGAGGAGTCATAAAGCGTTCGATACGTTTCATTCAATCGTATGATTCTCACCATAAAAGTAAACATGACTAGAAAACAGATCCCGACGACGATAGCAAAAGGCAAGAGTACATGCGTGATATTGAACGGTGTATCATTGTTGATCAATACGAAATACAACTGATCGTATAAATAATTCTTCTTAATAATCAATCCTGTTATTTCACTGACAAATACGGATGGTATCAATATTCCTACTGGATCATTGGCTTGCATCGGTTCTGTAACAAAGTTCAAACCAGTGAAACATTCGACAATATAAAACTGTTATAATTGACCATAATGAGAATCATTACCTAGTTCGTTGCTATCTACGTTATGTATTATTACAGCATCGAATCCAGCTTTCTGTGCGATTCTTACTTTCCTTTCAAAGCTACAATTATAGCGAGCAATTAAGGCTATCCAATTACTATTGTAAGTGGTACTATTGGGAGGACCTTGTATTTCGTGGCATGCAGTAGGTGGGTCTGCATATACAACCATGCCCTAATCAAATTTCCCATTGATTATACACTCGCTGATACAAAGTAATAATAAAAATTCGATTATCTATCGAAAGTACCTTAATCCCATCAGATGGAATCAAACCTCCGAATCTAGCAGGCATGTCTCTGAATTCTTCTTCGATCTGATGTCTTGCAGCAGCAGAGAATACTAAGATATCGGCTTTGGTGTACATCGCACAGAAAACAAGGTACATAAGCCACAACTGAAGTTGATGGCTCGAGCAACACTGTCTCATTTTTTAAGATGTCAAAATTATCCACCGTCTTGTTCAACCTTGATATTATATCAAAAAGAGCCTCATTATACGTCGTTTAACGTATCCAAAATACTAACATATCCATTTTGAGGAACGAAATAATGTTATCCTGTAATTACAACATTTTCACAGATTAGTTCTCAGTGTTATGCTAAAATAACAGTTAACCAGCCGTACACGGATAGCACTTTCGATCAAGTATCTTAAATTATTGTTCTGCTTTTCTATATTACACATATTTAACGTGAACTTGTATATTCCTTGTGTAAAAGATAAAGAAAAATGACGCGCACAGCGATTTGACCCGTACAGTTAGTGACTCACAGAACGAGAAACGTGACGCGTACAAAGTAGTGTGGCAAGAATCTTAACATTATTTAATCAGCGTTGGATCATTCTAACTGTACAATAAACAGTCCGCAAGATAATATGATCCCCCTGTCACTGTCTCTCTTCCTCCCGTTTGTTTATACAAAACGGAAATTGTCAAGTTGACGCGTAAAACACGGTTGTAATCTCAGTTTGACATGTTGGCGTAGAAAATAGTAGCGGAGGCTTAGACGATAACAATCAATTCGTTAATATGCATCAATCAGGATAATGATTGATGCATCTAAACGTGATATACATACATGCGCAAAAACAAGCATATATAATAATAATAATAATAAATGGATAAATGCGCGTAAGTTTAACGGCATGTAAATTTCCTGCCATTTGTTATTTGTTATGCATATGTACGTCGTATGTGTGTACGTACATACATAATGTGATATACGTACTGATATTCTTTCTCCTTTCTTCATCCAGGAAAAAACTTTACGTATAATACGCAGGGGACGTTCAATGGGTTCGTGAGATATACTGTAGATGCATGCACATGCATTCACACCCGTAATTCAGAAGATATTATCTGATATTATCCGAGAGTGTGCAAGTGCAATAGATGCACACCGTTTACACCTTTACACATCGCATGTCATACTCCGTCTTGCCGAGGTTACACGAATCTCTTCCCTGCTCTTCCCGTAGTGATCGTTCACTAGCGAAATCTAACAATGTAATCCTCACGATAAAATCGCATCTATATAGGCACGACGTACGACGATACCGAATTATGTAGTCCGTAAAGTAAAATTTGCGAGTAAACGTCAAAGGCTGAGATTCGGGTATCGAGGCATTTACTTGTTCATAGCTATGTGTACGTTTCGATATGAGATACTCGTACTATTCTGCGAAATACACTAATTTATGGAACTGTTCTGATTAATGAGAAAAGATCTATAGGTAATTTGATCGCTGGAGTCACGCGGATGTCATAGGCACACTTTTTCCTCTATTTTTCTGCGGAACTATCCGATAAACCCATGCCGGACATTTGTACACGTCACGTGACACGAGCGCTAAATTTAAACTCAATTAAAGGTCAGCTCGATATTACAGATTTTTATCCTCGATGGTTTACGAGACAGTCTTTCCTATATTTATTACATCGGAAGATTCTTAAACGATCATATTGAAACTTAAAATGTATTTTACGTTTCATGAAATTGACAATTACATGTACGTTTGATTCTTTTTTACTTATATTTCATACTATAGAATGTTATGCATAGTATACACATCACAGATATGACGAATGATCATTTTTGAAACATACAAGTCCTTATAAATACAGACGTTCGAGTTAGTACGATGAATTATTTAAGAAGTCAGTGTCGAGAACAGAATGTACATACACGTGCCTAGCAGTTTAATATCCACAAATCACATAATCAAATTTATATTATGGTACTTCGTACTTGTCGACAGAATAACTTCAAAAGAACTACGTTCAAACAATCCCTACAACCGCGATCATCAAGAGCGTTGAATAAATTATGAAAGAAGTGTTGCTTAAAAACAAAGAACAGAAGAGTTTGATCTTAAATGAACGTTTATAGTCGAAGGCACTCATTATAAGCAACATTGCTTACATCAAATTAATTTAATTTACAATTGGTTTGTTTCATTTCAATAATTAAGTAAAATACGTAATTTAATTTCATGAAAATTTTCCACGGGAGAACCTTTCATCCAAGTATTGTGCTTTATTGATAATAGCATTTTTTCGAGTCTGATCGAACCGATTGATTTGTAAATCAGTATCTCTGTCGAACGGTCTTCTAATCGTCAGGCCAGATGATTTAGCTTCCTTCTCTTCCTTCTGCAATAAACATTCCATCTGTTAGGCTATCACGATAAAAAAAAGCGCGAGATTATTTAGCAACCAGATACCTTTTTTTTCTTTCGCAGTTTGCTCTGGTGTATCTCTAAAAGTGACTTTTCGGATTTTTTACCCTTTGTCTTCTCGGTTTCATTCTTCTTAGGCATTTCGGTGGTCACTGTTCTCGATGCTTCGTACAGTTTCTCTTCTTCCTGGAATTTAAATTACTTATGTAATTGCTTTAACATGCATGGCGAACATAAAATATGCTGTACGCACTTGTCGCCTCTTTCTCTCAGCCTTTTTTGCAGGGGTATCAGTCCAGCAAGATCTGTCAGTCATATCTGGTCCCTCTTTGATCCGGAATTTTCTTGATGTCAGCCCTAAGTTATTGACTTGAGCCGACGGTAACTCGGTCATCCATTCCTCTCGTTGATTCAACGTATTATTATCCTAAAACATTATTTATTATGTTCCAATTGTCGAATACATTTACATTGAATTATAAGTTATCTCCTTTACCTCGTGTTTCTGTTCGTTTTTAATTCGTTGTGCTCTTCGTTCCAATTGTTTATGGACATAGTTAGTTTCTAATGCTGGATGATCGGCAGGTAATGGACCGATATCGTCTTCTTCTTCTTCTTCTTTTTCGTCCGTCTCCATCTGATTTATCTCGTCACTATTGAATGACTGGAAATCACTTGGGAGCGTAGGACCTATGACTCTCCTGACCGTTTCGTCGTTACTTTGTTGCTTTAATAAATGGGGTGGCAATGCTGGACCAAAAACAGAATCAGAATCTTCGTGCGTCGCGTCATCACTCAATGTAGGATTTTCGATTGTTTCACTCTCATCACTTTTTGGCAAGCTAGGTCCTATGAAATGCTTATCGTTTTCGAGTTCCGTGTCGTTCGAGGAATTAGCTAAAAGTTGCGGCGGTAACGGCGGTCCATAAATGATAATCTTTTCTTCCGACAGTGCAATATTCGTTGCTTTCATTGATTCACTATTATCAGCGCTTAAGGAAGTTCGTTCGCTAACATTCATACTTCCGGTACCTAATGTGGAATCTGAAATGGTACCAGAATGATTATTACTGGAACCATGTAACACATCGTCTTTCCTCTCATTTACCTTTAACGATCCTTCAAACGGTTCGAATTCGTTAATCAGTTGCTTTTTCGACGCGTTCTCGTATCCATCGTCTAAATTCCTCTTTTTCGACGGCGGACTCTTACTTTTAACGTCCGAGCTGTCAGACATGTTCCCATCGGTCTCCGACAAAATATCGAATTCAGATAAGTTCAACTCCTGACTCTCCGCCGAAAGATCTCTTTTCATTTCTTCTTCGTGACCGCTACGACTCTGTTCTATGTGTTTCGACGAGTACTCTTGCTCCTCACTCCCCTTAGTTGACATCTTCCTATACGTGTTGCATTTCTCCGATTCTCCTCGAGGCTTACCGTGATCCGCGGATCTTATATGAGACTTATCGTGACTCTTTTCGGAAGAGTGGTGTCTACACTTATCACGAGATTTGTTTCTGTGCTTGTCACTTTGAAATCTATCGTTCTCGTTTCTGCTACGACACCGTTCCTGGGACCTGTTGCTTCGGTGCTCGCTCCGATCCCTATTCTTATGGCGTTTCATCGACCTAGTTTTGTGCTTCGAATCCGTACCGGAATCCCTCGCGTTCCTATGCTCTTTATCCTCGTGTCTTAAGCTTCTTGACTCCGAAGAATGTCTCGAGTTCCTGGTGGAGTGCTTCGAATCTTTATCATTGATATCTTGGTCTCTCAGAAGTCTGTGCTCTCCCCTGTTACAGCTATGTTTAGGTTTGTCTTTTCTGTCTTCGTATAATCCAGCAGCATTGCAGCCAAACTCCTGTTCCGATTCTGACCTCGATAGTTTCCCTTGTACAGTGTCTTTACGAGTAGCTTCGAAACGAAACCGTCGTCCGTCGTCACTGTCTTGGCTTTCGGAATCAGAATCCATTGTCGTCATGATTAGTTACTTGCTGAAAGTACCACAAGCAGGATATTTTACTCATCCATTCACACATTAATACATTATAGAGGAAACACGCTATCATCATACATAAGGGCGCGTCGTATTTGTAACAATACTAAATATTCAGATCGGTAGAACAGGACACCAGTACTTGTATGTATTTTGTATAAATATTTCGATACAATAAGGCATTAAATAATACCTAAGAAAGACAGACAAAACTTGGCCAAACGAGGACTTTATTAAAAACACAGTTGCATGTGAAATACGGTACACGTGACAGGATTAAAGTATCGGTGAAATAGATGTTATTGCTCTACACGTTTCTCGGTTGTCTTTGGTTGCGTACGACTCTTCACGCTTTCTACTATGCTGTCGACTTTGCTCTGACCCGCTTCTAGTTGAAGGGAACTCGGTTGCTGACCCGTTTGCAACATCTTTATTATTTTCGCTGTACTGTATTGAACAGATTTGACAAATCCAGCAGTGACGATCCCCTTTAGACTCTGAGTAACGCTCGACTTCCAGACGATCTCTCTCAAACATTGATCTAGTATCTGACCGCATTCGGGATCGTAAGCGATCGCGCGTAGACAGTCCTCCGTGTCCTTCGATCGTGGACCCTGAGACCATGCCCTGACAAGCTTCACCTGTGGTATTCTAGGCAACTGATTTAAATGGTGTATCTTTGTCGTCGGACTCGTATCCTGAGAGCACTGAGCGACCATGGCCTCAGACTTCGGAATGTCCACGTAATTTTCGAAGTGTTGCAAGATCGGAGTATACAATTCTTTAAAATGCGCCAGCTGAGGCAACACGATGTTGCTAATCTTTTCTTTATTCTCACCGAAGGTCATTCGAAAATCACCATTGTAAGACAGGCCAGCTATAGTTTTATAGAACTCGACTTCCGTGAAGTGTTGTGGGAGCAACAGTAATGCGGCGTGCACGGCCGAATGCAAATTTTGTACTAGGGCTGTAGGCAGCTGAGAGCTTTCGCTCGGTTCCACCAATACTTTAACTGGCTTGTGCAATCTTCCCGCTAAGTAAAGATCGTTCCAATCTAACAAATCTTCTATCAACGAAACCTCGGAAACTATCCCATACTTGATAATATGCCCGTCGGTCATTTTAACTAACGTATTGTAATATATTTTAGCACCCCAATTTTCTTGTATATTAGTAATGACTCTGTGTCCGAAAAATCTCATCGGCTGGGCGTAGTGTTTAGGATTAAGCTCTAAATTCTCGGCGTGCCATTGGTTCACGTTACGAACAACGAAAACAAGGTCCACCATATTATTAGATAGATTGGTCAATTGTTTAAACGCAGCCGATCCATATGCAAAACAAAACTTGATATTTTTTGGAAAACCTTTCAGCATTCCTCTGAGCTGCTGACTTCCTATTATCTTTTCCATTGTACTGGGATATTAACAATATAATCTATGCGAATGTATCCAATATCTTTAACTCTGCATAATGTTCGTTTGTCCTTGAATATTAAAGTAAGAATCTTAGTCTGATCACTGACCAGTATTACTGTAACTGTTCTTACATGCAAATTTAATTAGAGTACAGTTGATTTGTCTTGTACTATCAAATTTTTCGGCTACAATCGAAACACGAAACGCAGCGTTGAAGAATAATACATATAATACGTGTCAGCCGAAGTGAAACAAATACTTTCGGTCCCAAGTCCCAAATCTTCCTACAGTTTCGATACGAAACGGTGAAAATCTTTTGACAATTCTAATCAACTGCGCCCTGTATTTAATCGAGATCCATTCCGTTTAACCTAAAACGTTTCTTCGTCAATCGTATCATCAATACATACGTACACTTACTTAAGCTCGTCGTAAATCCTATACCGATGATTTAATACTATGCAAGAACTTTAGTCGGTAGTCTCATTTATTCTAAACGATTGTAAATTAATGTTAAATTGCAACGTAACATTTTACTGGGCTTTACTGTGTGCATCTACATCGGAAACACACACGATTTGGATTTACGTGGATTTACGTTCACTTCGTTCATCACCGCACCAGTCACCAGCTTCAGGCTTCAAAGCTTCAGGATGCGCGCTCTCTTTCTCACATGTATTGTCGCGAACAAAAGAGTAACGTACATATTGCGAATGCTCTAAGGGAGGAATTATTAAACTGTTCGAAACTTGAAGTTATTGTGAAGTTTCTGAAGGCAATCGAAATTACTTTTATGTAAAAAAAGATTGATAATTTAAATTCCGCCCGTAGGAATTCTTCTATGCTAGTGCATTTTTCGTGTAGCATCTGGCACAATGTTACTCCCACCACTGCTTTAAAATCCAGGGAATTCACAATTATTGCAATGCCTTCAGCTTTAGATTAGACCATCCAAATCAAACACTGAAAATTTAGTTGAAACGTCAAGTTTAATTACCACCTGGTACGGTACAGTAGTAATATATAACGAGAAAATCGATCTGGGCAAGTGCTAGGTCGATGCATTAATAATTCAGACGTTCGTTGTATATATACAATAGAAACGAAGATCTGCAATTGAACAGCATGGAAGTTGATGAAAGTAATGCAGCGGGTTCAACTGATACACCGATGGAAGTTGACGAGGACAATAGTGGCAAAAATAGTGGCACCTCATCGGCAAATCCTCCTAGTGCTATCAAAGTGATGGCATCTTCGGGTACCGTTGGCTCTGTTTCGATCAGCCTCCATCCTTTAGTTATAATGAACGTTAGCGAACACTGGACCAGACTTCGTGCCCAGGAAGGAACAGATCAATTAGGTATATATATTTAACACCATATCGTATTTGTTCCTTATATTACCAGTGCTCTTCACAGTTAGTTTATTCTTACAGTTTATGGAGCACTTATTGGCAAACAGAAAGGCCGCAATATAGAAATCATGAATTCGTTCGAATTGTTATTTACCTGCATTAAAGATGATATTATAATTGATAGAGATTATTACAATACCAAGGAAGAACAGTTTAAACAAGTATTCAGTGATATGGATTTCCTCGGCTGGTACACTACAGGAGATATGCCCAATGATAGAGACATAGCAGTGCACAAGCAGCTTTGTGAGATCAATGAAAGCCCTGTACTATTGAAGCTTGATCCAAGACCGAAAAATACTGACGTACGCAATTGTTATTACCAGTCTTACATGCAAATGTATCAGCTGTTTAATCAGATGGTTCCATTTTACAGCAACTTTCTGTTTCTATGTATGAATCGGTGATTGACCTGGTTAACGGAGAGGCAACGATGCTCTTTGTTCCGTTGACTTACACGTTAGCCACAGAGGAAGCAGAGCGAATCGGAGTAGATCATGTAGCTAGAATGTGTAGCAATGATCAAGGGGAGAGTTCGTTAGGTAATTAATGATTCAGATACACGAAGACAAGATATTTCAATTGGGATCACTTGTTGTAGTTGCGGAACATCTTACTGCGCAACATAGTGCAATAAAAATGCTCCATTCGAGAGTGAAATTAGTTTTGAAGTATGTACAAGCTGTACAGAACGGAGAACTGAAAGGGAACCACGAAGTTTTGAGAGCGGCCTGTTCTCTAGGACACAGATTGCCAGTTTTAAATAATCCGAAGTTTAAAGCCGATTTTTATAACGTAAGTATATTCTATACTGTGTCTAAGAAACAACTGTATCTGCGTGCTTAACGTATTCTGTCTTATATTTTCAGCAATGCAACGATTTCGGCTTGATGACTTATCTCGGTATTATAACGAAAGGTTGTAACAACATTAATCAGTTCGTTAACAAGTTCAATATTTTGTACGATAGGCAAGGTGTCGGTCGTCGCCTCCGAAGTCTCTTTTTGTGATAAGGTAATAGAAGTCATTAATAATAATTGTTTACGATACTCTTCTTTTTACACCGTAAATTATAATAATTGCTCCTGGTATTAAAGGAATTCATATTGTAAGTCTTAGTAATATATAACATTGTAAGCCTTAAAATTAAATATAAAAGCGAAGTGAATCTTGATATATTTCATTTCGACACACAAACGATCAAATTGTATGTACATATATGCATATGGCTATCGTATAAATTTATTGATGCATGTATGGTTCATGTACTTTCATACTTATACTTTCTTCATACACGCGACGTACATACAAACAATTTTCCGACATGTCCTACAGTAATATTGTTCGAAAGAAAACGTACACCGAGGAACACATACACAAACGGTTGATACGATATATTATTACGCTTTTTCTTTTGTTGGTTTTTTTTTGGAAGACTTCTTGCAGTAGGTATATATATATCTTTTTTTATTTTCAGAGGCCACATTACTTTCTCCTTATATTTGATTTGTATCATTTATAGAATCTGTTTTGTATATAAATTATATTCAATATAAAAAGGCGGCCTATAAAATACGACTAAAAATCTTTCTAAAAATCTATGCGATTATTATATGTACGTACTTTGCATTGATATATAATAATTACTTAGAAATATTATACTGTACAAAATATAGTATTATATATATATTGTGCCTCATCACTTATTGCAGTAACTATATGCAGTTACGTACTTTATGTAAACGTAAAACAGGATTGACTCTCTTCGTGACTAGATCTATTTAAACTTTGAAGAATTTCATTATGGCAAAAGTTGTCAGACCTTTCGTGCAATGTAATAGCAATTTTTGATATCACCTGTACGTGTACCTTGGGTCTCAGGTAATCTTTTGTACATTTAGTTGTGCGACGTTTGATATTACATTGATATGAGATATTCGAGTATAAAAATCCACGTCTCTTTTTGATTCGTATAAATTTGAAAAGACCGACTGTTCTTTCCGTTAAATAATACTTTCACGAATTACACGAAACATAGAGGATCGCGCGTTGTACTCTTCGTATTCAAGTATTAAATTAGCTGTCTTCGATCATGGTAGCCAGAATATCTACCAGCACAGACAGCATTATATCAGGCTAAGGACTTGGCTTATCCATACCGATGATCTCTTCGAACAGAGTGTTCCTTCCTTCCGTTCTTTCCTCGATAGTTCGTAAAGCAAATCTTAAGGTCGCCGCAACTAAATCGCCGACGGACCAGTGTCTGTCCACGAGTACTCTACAGACAGTATCTAACTAAAGGGGCCACATTAAAAATTAGAATTGTACACAAAGCAGTAGTATAGCGTGCGTTATTTTATTCGCTACCTTCGATAATTTCGTATTCCCTGCTGTGAAGTAAATCAACTTTGGTACTCCCGCTAGAGAAGCGGCAAGCCATTGAATGACGAGCTTCAATTGTGGATCCCCTTTCAACCGGGATCCGCATCCCCAGTTACCTGTAGCTATGGGTAGCAATCCACTGGTTTGTGGACTATTGTCTCTAGGTATCTAAACAGTGGTTTGTAACAAGAAACACGATCATTTATAAATACTCTCGGTACAAATC